ATTTAAACACGATTCAGAAACAGAAAGTAGTGCAGCTGCTTTGTTTACAGGGTTTCCGGGGTAACGGCTGCATTTAAATTAATTATTATTATTATTATTATTATTTCTGCAGTTTAGCGCCATCTGCTGTCAGAGAGTGAAAGTGCGCTTTCATCCAGAGCGTCTCTCACGTGTTCCGCCATGTGCTTCTCGTCCGCTTGTTTACATCAGAGTGCGCAAGCGTCCTTCACGCAGCATACAGCAGGTGTTGTGCATTTTGACCAGTTGATGAGAAAAGTATTCTTAAAATGCATTCAAAATTCTAAATAATTTGTAATATATAATTATTCACGGTATTTAGAAGTGCCCACGATAACAATATCGTGCATATTCATTACCGTGATATATCGCATTACCGAATACCGGCACAAGTCTACCTCTGACCCCTGGTGCATATCACTCTCTGCTTCTTTTTCCGTTTATTATTCTCTTTTGATGCATTATTGAGCAAAATAGAACTATATTTATCACTGACTTTTCACTTTGCTCTGCTTGTGAAAAAGTAGCACACTTTAGCATACTTTTTAAATGAGGACCTATTATGGAAATAATATACTTTAAAAGAATATATATAAGTGCAAACTGTATGTAATGTTTTCTTGGACTTTCATTGCATGTTAAATGCAATTACATGGAAATTAATTAAAGTTTAAATTTATAGTAAATGCCAATAACTACATTTTTTTGACCCACTTAAGTAGGACTTAAGTACACCTTTATATGTGATTTCCTAATTCTATTTTCTTTCAAATATGTTTAAAATGTGCTGCTGAATGTACTGACAATCGTTTATGATAAACTAAAATATACTTTAATATAATTTCTATTGAAACTTGTTTGTATATTTGTAGTTACACATTTGTAATCATAAAGTTACAATTATATTAACTTGAAATATAATTAGAGTGATACACTAGAATTAAAATGATAATCAAGTGCTTTAGTATGCTAATCAAAATGACAAAATTAGTGTACTTTAAAGCATGACAAAAATATTAAAACAATTATTTAAAATGTACTTTAAAGTGAAACTTAATTTTGCACTTAAAAGTGCACATAAGTGTGTTGAGAAACAGTCATGAAAGTGACTTAAGTGGCCTTTTATTAAATTAATATTATATTATTATCTTAATATTTTCAGTAAGTACAGGGGATAGATAGATGGATGGATGGACGGACGGACGGACAGATAGACAGACAGACAGACGGATAGATGGATGGATGGATAGATAGATAGATAGATAGATGGATGGATGGATAGATAGATGGATAGATGGACGGATAGATAGATAGATAGACAGACAGACAGACAGACAGATAGATAGATAGATAGATAGATAGATAGACAGATCTATAGAGCTACAGTGTTCCTATGATTATTGTTGTCAACCATCACGATTTCAGAAGTATCAAAAGTTTTGGTTCCTCCGATAAACTCAGAGATGAGGACTGAGACAGAAGTAAATAACCACACGAGCCTGGTGTTTGTCAAAAACACCAAGTTATTCTGCCTTGGATTTTCTCTGTGGTGTTTAGAGGAAAGCATCTTGGATGCGGATCGGACCGCTGCTGCCAGTAAATGCTAAAATTACCAAACATCTGCATGAAAAATATCTGAATAGGACTCGTGATGCATGCAGATGATGTGTCAGTAGGCAGCGCACTTGGGCTTTGATGGTTTTTGTTTTTTTTCACAACATCTTGAGCTTTAGAGTTTACTGTCAAAAATCCATTAGTTAAATACCGCAAAGTTCTGCTTAATTAAGTAAGTGCCCGTCCTCCCTAATTAATGAGCTCTTAAATACATATACTTTGCCGTTATTGACCCAGTTATTTATGTCTAATTAAGACAACACTAAAAGGCAGTTTAATTAGACATCTTCTGTCTGTGTGTTTTCTGCGGGGCCAGTTTTTGGAAAAGACCAATTTGCGATTGACAGTTAATTAATAATGGAAAATGAATCTGTGTTAGTCAGTAAGGCATTGATTTGCATTTGCACTTTTGTCTTTTCTTTATGCAAATTAGACTTTTAAATGACACCCATCACTACACATTGTATTGTGTTTTGTTAGTTAGCCATCATGTTTTAGTGGTGTTTCTATACTGTGGCCTCTCAAAATGCATAGAAGAAGTCATTTACTGTAGAGAAAAGTTGCCCAGTATGCTTTGTATTGTCACAAAAAGACATCTGTTTGGTCTAATAATGTAGTATTAAGTATGAAGATTGTCAGAATTGTGTTTGTTTGTGGTTATAATATTCTACACCTGTGTGAACTTGAGCAGAAATGACTTCAACACACACACCCACACACACACACACACACACACACACACACACACAGTCATCCTCCTGTTCTTCTGCACTGCATGTAATACTCATAATCATCCACCAGATGTCACTTTATCCCTCATCACATGACTGTTCAAGGGTGAATTTCATATAAAAAATATATATATATAAATATATACAGTCAAATTGATCTTGATAATGTCAGATAACTTTGATAGAAATGTATGTAATGAATTAAGTTAAATAGCTGTCAGCTGTTAAATTTTAGTACATAATTAGATTAAACCAATTTAGCTCAACCTGTTACCAAGCAGTGCCTAATTTTGTTCAGTCGGTGGTGTAAAAGCTCGCATTAGCAATTAAAGAAAAAACACTTGAGCAAAACATGGTCAGGTCAAAGTGTCGGAATAATTGTTGGTCCCAAATTTTGATCAGTTTTACTGGTAGTCCACTGTATGAAGAATGTTTGGGTATAATATGTCACAGTTTACTTTATTTTGCTATCCTCACTTACATAAATTAACTATAGTGTCCTGCACCTGCTAGTAAAAATATATATATAAAAAAATATATCTGAATAATTTTTGGTTTGACTGTAAAACCTATTTTGTGTAAATTAAAATTTAATGATATTTTCTCCCCAAATGTTCATGCCTTTAAGATTAGTGGCCTTTACTTTTGAATGTGTTTGTTTAATTATTCTCAGTGATGCTTTGATTTATATTCTTATTAGCGTAATATTGTACATTTTCACTGTATTCAAGTATAATAATATTAGGTAACACTTTACTTAAAGCCTTTATGTATAATGCATTATAAAAGTAGTTTTAATGCATTAATTATGCCTTGTAATGCACATTATAATGCTTGTATAATCTCATGAATAATTGTAACCATAGTTAATACATTATAAGACTTATCAGTTCATTGTTATGCGATGCATTTTAAATTTGGTTATGATTATTTACGACAAGATATAATGTATTACAACGCACATTATGAATAATTATAATGCATTATACCCTTTAATAACCCTTTATAATGCATAATACAAAGAGGCTTTAAGTAAAGTGTTACCTAATATTTTGATTTATTATTATTTAATTAAAATTGGCAAAAAAATAAAGGCAGTACAAGAATTACTATGATGTTTAATTTTTGCATGCATATCTCTCTTATTCACTGTCTCTGTTCAGTTCAGAGCAGTTGTTCAGATTCATCTTCTGTGGGCAGCATTAAAGAGAGCGACTCACCCGCGTCTGCGAGAGATTCAAAGAGAAACGGCGAGCAAACAGGTCACACTCAGGTGAGTCACACACACACACACACACACACACACACACTCGCACACACACATAAACACACACACACTCGCACACACTCGTAAACACACACACACACACTCGCACACACTCGTAAACACACACACACACACTCGCACACACTCGTAAACACACACACACACACTCGCACACACTCGTAAACACACACACACACACTCGCACACACTCGTAAACACACACACACACACTCGCACACACTCGTAAACACACACACACACACTCAATTGTACATTGAGTGAAGATGATGATATTTTATGTTTTACAGAGCTCTGCACCCTCCACCTCTGTGTGAATCATTTCAACTCATAATGCAAGTCTTAAAATTAATGTAAGTACTGTATTTAAATGTATTGTTTTGTTTATTAATACATTTCTTCATTTTTTTAAATACATGGATGAGTGGAGAAAGATGCTTTTTAGAATCAGAGTGTGTGTTTACAGCATCTACCTCATGCAGCAAAACATTACTAAACTATTACATGCACTTTAACCCTATAAAGCCTGTATATATTTAATGCACAGACTCAGACTTCGCTGTCACACAAAATCTACTCCATGCTTTCTTTCGTCTGATTGATAGTTCAGAGTGTTTTATCCAGTAAAAGCTCTTTTAGTGTAATTGTACAAACATCCAGCTTCAGCTGCAGCTTCACGTGTCTTTCTGCTGTCAAATCTTGACTGATTTTATAAAGTAAACTTAAGAATAACTTTGATATTGTTAATAATATTTCAAGACGAACACTTACTGGACTGAAGCAGCTCGGCTTTACTTGATTCTCCATCAATCTTTTTTTTTTTTTAGAAAAATCAGTGAGTCTCAAATCTGATCATCAGGATCTTTTGAGGAACGTTTATTTCTTCATCTCTCAATCATCATTGTATTACAGTGCACTAAATGTTTTAATCATCAAACTTAGCACTTAAATATCATCTTAATAAGACATTATTGGAGATATAGAGTGACAACTGATATGTATATAATTGTGTGTATCTGCTATACTGTTATAAAGATCTGATTGATTTACATTACAAGCATCAGAATTGCATCATATTAATATCAGCTTCTGCACAAATTGCAGATTTTTGCTCTCAATTTGGGTTTCTGTATTACATTGAGCTGTTTTTCTTCCATATTATACTATATGAGCCATAAAAGCCTGATGTATCAAATATAATGCTCAACAAAAAACACATGCAAACTTTATTTTAGATTTTTTTGTTTCTGACTACAGTTTCATATCAGGTGCAAACACTTTCTTTTCTGTGCAAGGTACATATTTGCTACTCATAATAGCATCACTTTTGTCTTTTCCTCAGACTCAACGGGTGCTGTTTCTTTAATCAAAAACGCTGCCACATATTTCTGACTGGGAGAACTGGACACAAACTGGATCCTGAGATGCACAGCCGTGTAAATACAGTATTACAGAAGTCGTGTGTCGGCAGACGTCTCGCTTCTTTTACTTTCAGTTGCTCTTGATAATTGACTTTCAGGTAGTGAATCAAAGTTGATTCAACATCTCAGGCCCACACACACATCAGAAAGTAAAAAGATGACATTAAAGTCAACATGACATCATAATTCCTGAAAATGTGCTCATCCTCAGGCCATCCGAGATCAGGATGAGTTTGTTTCTTCATCAGATTTGGAGAAATGTAGCATTGCATCAGTGTCTCAGCAATGGATGCTCTGCAGTGAATGGGTGCCGTCAGAATGAGAGTCCAAACAGCTGATAAAAACATCACAATAATCCACAAGTAATCCACACCACTCCAGTCCATCAGTTAACATCTGGAGAAGACAAAAGCTGAAACAAATCCAGCATTAAGACGTTTTTAACTAAAATACGAGTCCATAAGCCATAATAAAGCCCATCTCTTATATCGAAATCCAGCCACGTGTTTGTTTAGAGCTGTTTTGGCTTGTAAATGGTGCTTGATCTCTCCTGATTCAGACCAGATTACTTATTCTCCAGATGTTAACTGATGGACTGGAGTGGTGTGGATTACTTGTGGATTATTGTGATGTTTTTATCAGCTGTTTGGACTCTCGTTCTGACGGCACCCATTCACTGCAGAGCATCCATTGCTGAGACACTGATGCAATGCTACATTTCTACAAACCTGATGAAGAAACAAACCCATCCTAATCTCGGATGGCCTGAGGATGAGAACATTTAAAGCAAATTTTAATTTTGTGTGAAGTATCCCTTTAATACACTTGTGCATGAATATTTGTTGTACATTATACCAAAGAAAAAAAATGTATAATCTTATCAGAATGTAATAACGTTCTTCACCTCTGAAATTCCCTTCCAACTGAAAATAATAACAAAGAGCAGAGCAATAATATGAAGTAAAGCACTATGTTTAAAGGACTATTGGGATACTCTGGAGGTGAACTTGAGAATTCATGTTGACTTTAAGGTCAGTATTTATGTGTGCGTGAACTTTCGCTCACTCAGTGCTACAGCAGTCACTTGGAGCTTCAAACTTCATTGCAAGTGTGGATCAAATCCAAACCAAAGACACGTTTTGCAAGATTATGCCAAATGCAAACTCTCAAAATATTAAAAGTAGCAAAGATTCTGTCAGTGCAGCTTACTTCAAGTGGCACTTTGTGATGTACGAGTTAAATGCTTTAACAGATTTTGTATATCAAACTCCGGCTGTTTTTGGCTGAGGACACATCTGGTATTTCGGCCCATCTCTATCTCAGAGTATTGAAGAATAAGGAATGTGTTCTTCTCCGTTCTCTGAGTTTAGTTAAGCACTAGCTGTCTTTTATTGCCCCGGCCGATCCGAGAGCCAAATCCAGACTTGCGTTTCAGAAGAGAGCTGCTGTGGATGGTGTGTTTTATGCTTTATGAGTTATGTAATTATTTAGCTCCACCCTCAGCTTTTCCATTAGCCAGATTCTGAGTCTTAAAGAGTATTAGATGCTGGAACGCTAATCTACTCAGAGGTTCAACCGCGTAAAAACTGACTCCAGCAACTGTAATCCACTTTTGAATTTATGAGGTCTGACTCTGGAAAATCATCTTTTATAAGCTCTGTTTGTACTTCAGGTCTTCTGTCATGTTGCATATTTTAGATGGTGGAAACTCTGCTCTTCGGAGCATGTCTTCTTTTGATGAAACAACAGCCAAAGTTTTGTTTTTCCTTGCGCTGAAGAGGTTTTATTCTGTCCAGCTGTGCATTGAGCTTGATGTGCTGATACACCCATAGGAAAGAAAAATCCTAAATATGATCTTTTTTTAAAAACGTGTACAAGTTAGGATCAGTCGACAGCATTTATGGTGTAACATTTGATTACCATTTAGCAATATCTGATTACAACTTACGGCGAGGCTCTTACAATGGAAGTGAATGAAACCAGTTTTTGGAGGATTTTAAAAGCAAAATTGTGAAGTTTATAATTTTATAAAAGTACTGACATTAATGCTTCTGTTAAAACTTGTGCTAGGTTTGAGCGGTAATGTACATTTTTAGTTATTTTAAACTATATACTTGTAAATGATCATTGGACAAACTTTACACAAAAGGTTAGTAAGCAGACTGAAATCATGTTAACACACGTTTATATCCTGAAACAGTGAGTTGTTTTAACGTTTACAAAATTGGCACCATTTACGTCAATTGTAAGTCCCTGGAGAAAAAGAAGTGGAATAAATATTTAAGAAAATATTAATGAAATGAAAGGCCACATAAGTGCACTTAATGAGAGCACACTCACACACTTCAAAAAAGTGCAATTATTAAATTAGGTCGTTTTTTTAAGTTTTACTGTAGTTTTACTTAAGTGGGTCAAAAAAGCACTCTGAAGTTCTGCTGTCTGCATGTAATATAATTTTAATCTATAATACATTTTATTTCATTGCAATTAACATGCAATTAAAAGACTGAAACATTACATTCAGTAATTTTTTTAAGTATATATTTTTTAAGAAAAAGGAGAGACATGTTGAAATAGTCAATGTATGAGTCAAAATTATGAGATACTAAGTCATAATTATGAGATAAAAGGTTGAAATTGAGATAAAGTCAAAAGTATGAGAACAAATATGAGTCAAGTCATAATTATGAAATAAAAAGTTGAAATCATGACACAAGTTGCAATTATGAGATAAAAAGTCAAAAGTATGAGAACAAATATGAATCAAGTCTTAATTATGAGATAAAAAGTTGAAATCATGACAAAAAGTTGAAATTTGAGATAAAAAAAAATATGAGTCAAAATTATGAGATACTAAGTAGAAATCATGTCGAAAAGTTAAAAGTAAGTCATATTATGGCTCATAATGAGATAAAAAGTCAAAGTATATATAATTGTTTTTAAGAAAATGGAGAGACACACTGAAATAGTTTTCTGTGGTAATCAACATTATGCCACAAGTCTGTCGATTGACCTCGGCTTGTACTCTGAATATTCCTTTGATAATAGTAACAAGATTTAAGTAGAGATTATCCTCCTTAGAAAACAAAAGTTTCAGAAGATATCTCAATAACTCACAGATGCATCAGATTAGACACGACACAAAAGTGTGCAGTCAAAGAATTATTCAGAATTAAAACACAACTGAGAACTGCAGAAGAGCCACCTCTGAGCAATAGAACTGTGCTGCGTTAGTAGAAATGGGAAGTTGCATAGTTTCTTCGATAATTAAGCAGTTCAGAGGACAAACCCCATTTCTGAGAAAGGCGGACCACTTAGAGAGGAGTGTAGGACTGAAGCGCGGCCGACCAATAATAACAAAGAGCAGAGCAATAATATGAAGTAAAGCACTATGTTTAAAGGACTATTGGGATACTCTGGAGGTGAACTTGAGAATTCATGTTGACTTTAAGGTCAGTATTTATGTGTGCGTGAACTTTCGCTCACTCAGTGCTACAGCAGTCACTTGGAGCTTCAAACTTCATTGCAAGTGTGGATCAAATCCAAACCAAAGACACGTTTTGCAAGATTATGCCAAATGCAAACTCTCAAAATATTAAAAGTAGCAAAGATTCTGTCAGTGCAGCTTACTTCAAGTGGCACTTTGTGATGTACGAGTTAAATGCTTTAACAGATTTTGTATATCAAACTCCGGCTGTTTTTGGCTGAGGACACATCTGGTATTTCGGCCCATCTCTATCTCAGAGTATTGAAGAATAAGGAACGTGTTCTTCTCCGTTCTCTGAGTTTAGTTAAGCACTAGCTGTCTTTTATTGCCCCGGCCGATCCGAGAGCCAAATCCAGACTTGCGTTTCAGAAGAGAGCTGCTGTGGATGGTGTGTTTTATGCTTTATGAGTTATGTAATTATTTAGCTCCACCCTCAGCTTTTCCATTAGCCAGATTCTGAGTCTTAAAGAGTATTAGATGCTGGAACGCTAATCTACTCAGAGGTTCAACCGCGTAAAAACTGACTCCAGCAACTGTAATCCACTTTTGAATTTATGAGGTCTGACTCTGGAAAATCATCTTTTATAAGCTCTGTTTGTACTTCAGGTCTTCTGTCATGTTGCATATTTTAGATGGTGGAAACTCTGCTCTTCGGAGCATGTCTTCTTTTGATGAAACAACAGCCAAAGTTTTGTTTTTCCTTGCGCTGAAGAGGTTTTATTCTGTCCAGCTGTGCATTGAGCTTGATGTGCTGATACACCCATAGGAAAGAAAAATCCTAAATATGATCTTTTTTTAAAAACGTGTACAAGTTAGGATCAGTCGACAGCATTTATGGTGTAACATTTGATTACCATTTAGCAATATCTGATTACAACTTACGGCGAGGCTCTTACAATGGAAGTGAATGAAACCAGTTTTTGGAGGATTTTAAAAGCAAAATTGTGAAGTTTATAATTTTATAAAAGTACTGACATTAATGCTTCTGTTAAAACTTGTGCTAGGTTTGAGCGGTAATGTACATTTTTAGTTATTTTAAACTATATACTTGTAAATGATCATTGGACAAACTTTACACAAAAGGTTAGTAAGCAGACTGAAATCATGTTAACACACGTTTATATCCTGAAACAGTGAGTTGTTTTAACGTTTACAAAATTGGCACCATTTACGTCAATTGTAAGTCCCTGGAGAAAAAGAAGTGGAATAAATATTTAAGAAAATATTAATGAAATGAAAGGCCACATAAGTGCACTTAATGAGAGCACACTCACACACTTCAAAAAAGTGCAATTATTAAATTAGGTCGTTTTTTTAAGTTTTACTGTAGTTTTACTTAAGTGGGTCAAAAAAGCACTCTGAAGTTCTGCTGTCTGCATGTAATATAATTTTAATCTATAATACATTTTATTTCATTGCAATTAACATGCAATTAAAAGACTGAAACATTACATTCAGTAATTTTTTTAAGTATATATTTTTTAAGAAAAAGGAGAGACATGTTGAAATAGTCAATGTATGAGTCAAAATTATGAGATACTAAGTCATAATTATGAGATAAAAGGTTGAAATTGAGATAAAGTCAAAAGTATGAGAACAAATATGAGTCAAGTCATAATTATGAAATAAAAAGTTGAAATCATGACACAAGTTGCAATTATGAGATAAAAAGTCAAAAGTATGAGAACAAATATGAATCAAGTCTTAATTATGAGATAAAAAGTTG